ATATGGTAAAGAAAACAGGATCCCCTTGAGTAAACTGACAGGCTTGTTTACCTTCTTTAGCCCCCATACTGATGCCTTGGGATAATTTTAATAAGAAGTGCATTCTGGAGGCATATTCTTTAATTTCTGGTTTGACTTATCTGTCTGCTTTTAGCTTGAATAGGCAGGTAAAGTGAGTTTCTTCAGAGTGCAGTTCTGCATTTATTCTCCAAATGCACAGTTAGTTTAAGAAACTCCAGTATTGTTCATCTCCTCCTAGTTGCACTCATACAGCTGGTCACATGGAGTCCATCTGAAAACTTGGTCAATTAAGTGATCTGGGATTTAAAAAAAAAAGGGGGGGGAGGGGGGGCAAAAAAACAACTGCAAACCACAGCAGAACCACCACCACAGTTACTGATCCACCAGGAGATGAAAACTGAAATCAGCATGTTCATCACTTTTTCCAAATTCTGATTAGTAAATTTAGTCAACCTAGAAGAAAGAATACTCAGAATAATTTCTTAACCATTTTATCCTATTACTTGATGCTCAGAGAAATTTTCCTTAGATTCCAAGTAGGACTGACAGTTCAGCAGAACTTCTAACACCTTACTAGATGCTTATGTATTCTTCAGAGAGTGTCCTGTGATCCTCTCTTCTTTCCCCCTCAGTCTGGTGCTTGGCATATAGGAACTCCCTGGATTCTATCATTGTGCTGGTGGTAAATAGGGGAACTAGTTGGACTGTGACTGACTGATGTTGATTGCGGTTTTATACATGCACTTCGTTAATGTAGTATGTGAGATATGAAAAATAAATTAATGAAAGCTGGTAGAAACAACTCAGGATTAATTTGGGGTTTGTTGAGGCTGAGGATGATCATTAAAAAGGAATATTTGTACTTCCTTGCACAACCCAGAAGAGGAAATCTTTGAATTCAATAGCTGTTGCTTTATCTTGGCTACAGTTAAGCTCAATTGGATGGTGCTTAAAACAGATTACTTGTGTGGATTGAAGGAGAGAAGAGTTTTAAAAATGGAGTTTGAGACCTCCATGCAGCCTTTTCTATGTCAGTAGGGTAGTGTTCTCAATTTTGCTCAGTCTTCAGACATGTAATGTGCAATGCTCATGTGCTAGAGTAGCTGCACTTGCAGCCTATTTTATCTCCAATTTTTGATACAAAGAAAAATATTAAATTGCTAGAATGTTTTGGCTCTTGTGTCCTAGTCTTTTTCATGCCTCTCATTGTGGCGTAGTCTGTGTTAGTATTTACTTACATTAAGTGTTTCCAACCAAAGTGAAGCGGTGCCTGAATTGTTGGTTCTTGAGAGGTGCAGAGCAGTTCAATGGCAAGGCCATGGTTATTTTGCTCTGGCTCATTACAGAGCACTGTTTGTCAGCTGAGGGTTTATTTGGCAACAGAAAAGTAGCTTCTAACATTTGAGGCAATTGGAGGTCCATGAGCTGCATTGATCCTATATTCCCCTTCTTTTTAATTTTAAAAAGTACATGGTCGTAACCTTAGCAGCAAGCACGGGAGAACATGGATCCACATAAGTATTTGACCTGTTGAGGAAAGCTAATAATCTATTCAGTCCAAATGTCTGTAAGGAGGAGTGAACTATGAAATGACATCTTGTGTTTTCTTTCTGTCGTTTATATGATGCAGTCTCCTCTGGACCTTTCTGCTCTCTTGCAGAGGCATTTCAGAGGTCCTTGTGGCGGTTGGGTTACCTTGGTTGGTTCCCAGCCCAGCAGTTTTGAAACAGCAGTGTGGAAACAAGTCATGTGTAAAATACATGGTGAGGTTTGAAAAAGGCTTCCTGTAATGGAAAGATAAGCCTTGATCCTCCTGCCTGATCCTCAAGCAGTTACCCTCATTTGGCAAGCTCTTTGAGTTAACTCTGTTTCCTATTGCAGAACATTTGGGTCACTGGAAAAATATGTGTTTAGGAGGAGTGCATGAGGTAGGCAAACCAGGTTACATCATCCTCAGAGCTTGTCAGGCTGTGACTGCTTTCTAGCTTGTACTGGATCTTGTTCAGGGGAATCAAGGTAACTTGGATGTTATTTTCATTCGGTTCATACTCACAGAGAAGGGTGAGGGCTCTTGAAAACTGTATTCTGAGTTTATCAGATTTGTGCCAGGTTACATCAGGAGGAGGCAGGTCAGAACAGTCGAATTGTCACTGATTCATTAAAGCAGTCATTTAGGGCACTTCTGAAGTGTCAGTGGCTTGTGGTAGGAGTGGAGTATGCTGCTACTTACATAGGCAATACCTTAAGCCTTGCCTTTGTAGTTACATATTAAAGTTCTGGGTTCATCAAATGGTACATCAAAACTTGTTTGGTTGGGGGGAAAGTGTTCATGTGCCTTCACGTCTTCTGTGTAACTGTATTGCAGTGTCTCACCTAGGAGCAATATCATGCAAAACCCATGTAGTTTGTTCAAGTGCTGTGGGTAGCATAAAAACTCTTAAGGATTGGTGGGTGGGTGCAAAACCTCCTTCTCTACGATTCAGATGCCTTGATCTTTCTGTGCTTGTGCTGTGCCATTGAATTAGTCCTATTTCCAACAGAACAGAAAAATCAAAATGGAGGAGGGAAAAGCAAAACAAAGGTGGTGTGAGCTACATAGTCCTGTAATTCTCAAAATTAACTGTTGTGAAGTAGCGTGGACAGTGTTTAATGATCATACGTATTACTGGTTTAAATGTCTCATTTTGCTTGTATCATGAGAGAATAATGAAGTCCCTGTAATTCCATTTTTACTCATTTTTTCATCTCTCTAATCTCTCATGTAAATCTTTTTGATACATGGAACATGAATCCTCTGAATGAAAGTAATCGACCTCAGTTAGAGTACTTTGTGCAGTGACTTGTAACCAGTAAGACTCTCCAACTCTCCAAGAGGAGGCAAGCATTAAACATATTCATCAGGTTGTATCTACACTGAATCAAACAGAATTCATATTAAAAAGACTTTTCTTCTCTTGGTGTACAAGTTGCCTTACTAGGCATAAGTTAACCTTGATTTTTTTGGGACATTTATTTTCTGTATTTTATAATTAATACCTTAGAAGCTCTGACCTAAGAAGAGGTGGTGGTGGATTTTTATTGGCTTGAAGTGAGAGTCAGGGAGGGAAAAGCTTCTCTTGTTGCAGAAGGGAAAGTGCTGAAAGGATGTCAGTTTCTTGCATACATTTTCACATCCATGGACTTCCACAGCTGTCCGGTATTTCCTCCTCATCTGTTGAAAAATGCTTGTTTTCCAGCCTGGTCACCAGATTCCTTCATGTTGTTACCCAGTTCCTGGGATAGCACTGGTGGTTTCGGAGGCTGCTGCTCCTTATCTATGTTTCAGAATTACTCTAAGAGCAAATATAAGTTAGTGGGCCATTGGTATTTGCTTAGTGCTGGTGCTATTATCACTGTAATTTAAGCAAGGATATTTTAAAAAGACCATCTTTTTGTAGGGAAGAGTGATGTAGGCAGGGCCTTGCAAGGTGACTTAGCCTATTAGGAGGTAGTAATAGGAGCTATTAAAATGTCCTGAAAATACAAGCTTTTATTGTCAGATAATGGTGGACAGAGATCTTGAATTCTGAGTCTTCAACAACACACAAACCCAGCAGTTCTTTGCATATTGTGTATTCAAGGTGTGTATTCCTGTGTGTGTTACCACATGTCATTTCTTTACTCACTGGAGACTGCTGCTCTTTGCTGAGGCAAGATAGAGATAGGTAAGGAAAACAGAGCACTTTGAGAGTAACACACCATACTCTGTGCTTGAAATGATGTGTTAAGTCACAGTAATATTATTAAATTGCTATAGCTAAATGAGGTTTGTTTTGGGGAACTAAGATACGTAGCCAGTGGACCTGCTGACAAGGGACTCCAGTTGAAGACCTGGGAGTTCTGTACTATTTCCATCCACGTAAAATCTGTATATATTGTCTTTCTCTACAGAAAGATCTAGCTGTTAATACAAGCGCAAGAGAGGCTACTTCTGATTAATTCACCTAGCTTTCAAAAATAACTTCTCAGGTTGATACAGTTAATTATACCCACCCCCCCACCTCTGTCATTAAATGTATTCACAGTCTTGATAGGATTTGTGCAGAAGACTGTGTTAAAATACCAGAAGTCTTTTAAGACCTGTTTTACTGCTGAAAATTCTCAGTTCTACAGTTGGGCACTGTGTGATTATAGTAATTTGACGCTTAATTCCTCTTTGTTCCTTCTTTCCTTTTTTAATATATTCTGTAATGAAGTATCTTATTATACAGCTACGTTTGTTGTTTCTGTGTTGTGTTCACACAGACCTCTAACCTGATACTAGATATTAAAAGTGATGCTCAAGTCTTTGTTTTTTGTCTTGTTCTGTTTTGCCATGAATAAGTTTAGATGTTTAAGTTGGAGGTGACTGGGACATCAGGAATTGCATGTGAACAAAAATAGTTAATAATGTTAACACTGGCTTACTGTATGTGAGTGGTTAATATGTATTATTAATCCCTTAATAGTTGGAAATTCAGTAAGATCGAAGGAACATTTCTAAAGGATGCAGGATTTTTAAACTTTTTTTGATGTGTAGTTGTGAGATGTGAGTTTGGGACTTGTAAATTTGCACTTCTTGGGTTTTGGCGGGGAAGGGACTAATGGGTTAATAAGCTGCTTTAAATAACGATGCAGGTGTCACCTTGAAATATCTCCTAATGAAAATATTGACTGGGCAAAACAATTATATCCTTCTCCACATTTATCAGAAAATATCTTATGTTGGAGAACACATTAATTAATGTGACCTTAAACATTAAGTTTGACTTAAGTATTAGTGCCCAAATGCAAAGCCTAAAGGAAAAAGTTTTGGTGTCAGCTCACATGCCCACTGAAAACATGTACCTAAAATGTCAATAGCTTTCTCATCCTTTTGGCTTCTCCAAATGCCTTAATTGTACTTCATGCTTCAAATCTGTTGCTGATTTTTTTTTTTCTTCTCCTTTATTCTCTTTCAGAAAGATGAGGTGTACCTCAACTTGGTGCTGGACTATGTTCCTGAAACAGTATACAGAGTTGCCAGACATTATAGTCGGGCCAAACAGACACTCCCTATGATTTATGTCAAGGTAGGTAACCAATAGATGTGGTTAGACGAAGAAGGATATTATAGGAATTGACTTTGTGGACACCTCTCTTCTGCCATAATTTGTTTTCTGAGTTTTTTAGGTGTGTGTACATCTTGAGGCAAGGAAAAAAATACTAGAATGATTATTTGTTGTGGCAAAGGAAGAGTAGAGGGAGTGGCTTAAAGCAAGCACTTGCGATTTCTCACTTTACAAAAATCTTGGAATGGGTGGGGGAGACTGAGTGCAGGGCAGGGGCAGGGGAGTCTTTTGTTTTTTAAACAGCTTAGATAAAGACTGATACCAGCCAGGTTAGCAGCTTCAGTTTCCTGAGATGATGAAGACACAATAGTACAAAGGCCAGGAACTGAAAGAGGATGTCAGGAAGAATAGTGTTCTCTTATCTGTTATCTTTCCCTTTTCATGGCATATGAGTAAGAGTTCGTGTGCTTCTGTTGTGGGCGTGAAAGACATATTTTTGTCCCCTTCCCTGCACTTGGAGCTCAGTGGGTCTTGTCTTGAAGAGCTGCGTAGGGCAAGATGTTGGAATGCACCTTGTCAAGTCTCAAAAACCCATTTAAGTTGTCTGTATCTTTTGTCATTTTTTACAAAGTAATTACAATGAATAAGATCAATTTTTTTTCCATCAAACATGGGACCTTCCTGGGTCTCATAGTTCTGTTTCATATGATGTGGTGACCATAATCCACACACTAGTGAATGATCATGTTTTCACATGACATTAATTTTTAACATGGCATCCAGATATCATTAAATGGAAATTATCAACAAATATTCCTGATCTGCATTGTTTTCTCCAGAGTCCTCCTTAAAAGTGTAATGCTTTAACATGAGGATGGGCTTAAGAAAAAACTTTGATTTAATTGAAAGAAGATAGAAGTAAGAAATAGTAATTATTCCAATAACAAAGTGTTGTGCCATAACTGTATATGCATAAATTGTAAATGGCGCGTCTCTGCAATAGCCATCATGGGTGCTTGTTTCTAAGAAAGCACAGGATCTTATCGTCCAGCAGTAAGAATTTCTACTGCAAGGTCACTCTGTTTGTTCTGTGGTGCAACAGCAGGTATTCAGGTTATATGCTTCTCAAAATTTGTGAGCTTAGCTTTTGATAAATTGTTTATATAGCTTTTGTCAGTACTCTTGCCCTAATTGCTCTTCATTATGGGGACTGGGGAAAAATTGTCCTTACTTACACTTTGAGAGAAAATTCTCCTTCAACTCTTTAATCTTGCTGAATACTTGGGACTTCCCATTCCAGGTAGCCTGGAAGGCTGTTCTTATTTTTCTGGCAAGGCAACCATTTCTCAGAATCCTATATTTAAAAGGTCATGTTACCTTGATGTCATTAAACTTTTGCAATTTTCCAGACATCTTGGCTACACAGACGTCAGATCATACCCATTTGTTCACTTCTGATTGATACCTAGGCAGGCAGAGAGCTGCTCTTCCCTCTGACAAAAAACTATTAAAGAACTGCAAGAAAGCTTTTCTAGTATTCTTTTTGTTAATTTTTATTTGTAACTTCTAACATGCTGCAAGAAATTCTTGTAAACTTTGGGTTTGCTGTGTGGAGATGAAAGGCATACTTTCTAAATCCCACATGTGTTGACCTGACTCCTCAAATTAGAGCAATCTTTTGGATTATTTTGCAATACGCTTGCACAATACATTCTTAACATGTCTAGAACAGGCAATTCAGTGTTTGTTTGCTTTTCTTTGTGCAGAATTACAGCTTTGGGAAACAAATATGAAAACTAAAGACTTAGAGCCAAAATTCGGGCAATTCTCTTCCCTCTCTTACCTTCCCCACCAAATTAACAACAAAAAACGAGGGAGAGAGAAAGAGAGTGAGAGACAAAGATATGGTGAAAGTGAGGCAAATGTCACCTGATAGCAATATCTACCAGTTGCACACGATTTTACAGACCATTAAAAGTGAACTGTGGAGAACGAGCTTGGAAAAGGAAAGCATGGAGTTGCAACTCCGTACAATGTCCTGCCTGTAGCTTAATTATTTTTTTTTTTAGAGGGAACCTGAGGGGAGACACAACAAAGATAAATAACCTGCCTGCCTGTTGTGAACCTTGAAACAGGGCTTCCCATGTCTTTGTGGGTGTGTATGCTATACAGCCCTAATTGTGTCCAGCAGCTTGTTATTCTCCATAACCAGAAGTGTGTAGCTCCAGCAGCTGGACATCCTCCCCTTGCTGTATAATTTTGCCCTGTGAAGCTCTTGGCTTCATAACACCACCTCTTGCTCTATTTCCTCCTTGCTAAGGGGCTGTTTAGCCTTGGATAGTAGCAGAGCAAACCCTCCCTCAGCAGACTTGTTTGCTCTGCCTTGCATAAAATTTTTCTGAACAGTTGTTTTTCTGTTCTCTCTTTTTGCCCAGAGGTTTAGAATTAAAGTAAGTCTGTTCCCTCACCAAGAGAACTGTTAGATTCACTCAAGTAACAGATGAGACACTATCCTAGTCCTTGGGCAACATTGAATATGTTGTTTATAACTTCATCAACTAAAGGGTTTTCTGTGTAGGTGTTTTTCCTCCACTTACATAACCTGGAATACTTCCTTTCTGTGAAGAGGCTGATTTATAAAGCAAACTGAAACACCTTTTTTGCTGTATATTTTTTGAATACCATTATTTATAAATCTTAGAAAGCTGACACAGTTATTTTTTTGGAGTAGTACTCATTTTTGGAAGGACAAATGCACAAATTTGAGCTGCATATGTGGCAAAGGGCACGTAGGGAAGGCATGCAAATACCTTGCACATCTTTATAGTGCTAATATGCATTCAGTAGGGTCTCTTTTGAGTTATTTTGTTTTTTCTTCTAATAGGAGTTTGTGCTCAATTAACTGTTTACCCCATTTTGACTAGGAAAGCATGCCTTATGCAATGTTTCTGTGTTCCAGCTGTACATGTATCAGCTGTTCCGGAGTTTAGCCTATATCCATTCCTTTGGGATCTGCCACCGGGATATAAAACCACAGAACCTCTTGCTGGACCCTGATACAGCCGTTCTAAAACTCTGCGACTTCGGAAGGTAAGCGCATCTGTGGCCTGAAGCCTGGTGAAAACAGCTTCTTTCAAAGTGAACCTGGGTGCAATTTTGCAGAGAAACCCCCTTGTGTTCTTCAGAAGGTCTTCACTTGTAGTTTTGAAACAGAAATTATTGATATTCTATTTTCCTCTTAAAATTAGTTCATATGGGAGGAGGAGAGCTGGAAAAGGATATCAAGAGGGAGGGAATTAAAATTGAAGCCTGTTATTTATACAGGTATTAAATATGCTGTCACATAGGGGAAGGTACTATGCCATGGAAAAATGCAACCAGATAGGAGGGTGAAATGTGTTTGGGGAAGAGAAGACAGGTGCAGTGGCATAATAACCTAAAAAGGTTAATGTTACACTTTATTAGTCTACTTGTGTGTATACCAGTTCACTTAATATTTCAAATGCTATGGCAGCCGAAGATCAAAACCAACACTTCTAATTGAAGCTGTTAAATAGTGGACATCTACCCTCATTTCCAACGGCACATTTATTTCCAGTATCAGTTCAAGTGAATCACCTTTGGAGTCCAGCCCTCATCTTAGAACTGATACAGAAATTCTGGGAATCTACACTGAGACAGGAGACAGATTTCCCTCTGGGAAAGTTGAGTCTTTAGATTGTGCTATAACTCTGCAGACTAAAATAGTTATCACATATATGTGAGAGGTCACAGATGCTGCTGTTGCTAAATTCGCTTGCCCGTAGTGAGTGGGAATGTCAGATGGTGGTTATTCAAGCAGTGCATCGTCATGCCTGGTGGCTCGGGAATCTCCTCTTCAGCTCTACCTCACCAGTGTTGGAGCAAAATAGGAATTGCCCTGCAACTCAAAAGTAACAATGCATAAAATGGTGTAGAAAACAGAAAACTGAGACTTTAACACAGGCTAAAAGGGTGCTGGGAGTCCTGCTTCCCTGAAGGCTGAGAGAAGTTTCTGGAAGGCTGGGCATTGGATTTGGCTTGCTTGCCACTCTGCTGAGTTTGGTGCTACTTAGTTGAATGTCATCTTTCTGAAAGGGCAGTTTCGTCTTCAAGCTCCTTTCTAACTCTTGGTGTTAATTAAGAAAGAGGTATAATATGTTCATGGACTTACATTCCAAAAGTAATGTGCTCGCGTCTTCCTTTATTTTCTTAGATAGTGGTAGAGGCAGTACTGTAGGTTAGATCCTTTGTGGCTGATCTCTTGCACTATAAGTGAAGCCTTCACATTAGTTGTGGACCATTGGCAAAGTCGTGACTACAATGGCTAAGTTTTTTTCTTTTGTTTCCTCATATCCATTTTGCTACATACCACTGTCCCTTAAACAGCAAAGAGCCAGAATATTCTGATGGAAACCTTAAAGCAAAACAAAAAACCCCACAAAAACCTCTCTGTTCTGGTAAATATCCAGAGCTTTTGAACCTCAAAAAGGTAACTGTTTGAACCGTATTCTGTCATCTTTTTTTGTAAACAAACCTTTGTACCTGGAAAAAGACAACTACCAGCCAAAAATCTGACCCTGTTTATCACCTAGATTGTAGTCAGAATTTCCTTTGCTGTATCCAGTATAAGGTAGCTGCTTGATGGGTTGGACCGATTTCACAGTAAATCATTGAGTCTGTGGCTTGCATCAGCTTAGAAGACCATGGTACTATGGCATTTAGGAATTGGGAGTGGGTGAAGAGTGCCAAAGCTTAATGTTGATCTGTACTGCAATGTTGTAAAACTATTCATTACAGAAAGATTATTATTTTGTTTCCTTTTCAGTGCAAAACAGCTGGTTCGTGGAGAACCTAATGTCTCATACATCTGCTCTCGGTACTACAGGGCACCAGAGTTGATCTTTGGAGCCACCGATTATACCTCCAGTATAGGTATGTATGTATATTTGTTGAAATCTATACCAGCTGCATGATTTTTTTATTCTGTGGGAAAGTGTAAAGGTTTCCAGAGAACTCGGATATAATCCTCAGAGGCAGAATTTCATTGTAAATGGTTAAGTAGCACTTCTTAATGAAATACACACATTTTGTAGATAGCTGCTGTGATTTTTATGCGTTTTATTCAGTGACAATTACATTAGGAAAGGGGGTTTTTTAAATGTAGGGGGGAAATCTGATTTTAAACAAAAAAATCCAGGTAATTTTGCCATTTAGTTTAAAAGTAGGTATGAGATCTCAAACCAGAAAAGCATTTTGAGTTAAAGTGTAGAGAATGACTGTAGAAATATCAACTATTGCTTCTGATACGCTGTGACTTAGACACAAATAATTCTGTAACTTATTTACAGAATAATAAATACCCTTTTAGTGAAGAGTTTTTAGTAGGAGGGAAAGTGTGGCCTAATGATTGGCTTTCAACTTTTTTGACAGTTTTAATATATTGTGTACAACAGTCTTTCTGATTTGACTTACTCTGCCAACTTGCCAACTTTTGCTGTCCTTCAGTCATTAATTTTGAACACAAGGAAGACTTCTTTCTAATACTTGTCACATAGCAGTATCATGGAAATGTTAGGAAGGCTGGAGGTTTTGGCAGAGGACAGGGAACAGATGGGTATTCTTACAGTGGAGTCCTAAAAATGAACAGCAAGATGAAAAATCATAAAAAATGAACAGCAATGTGTTGGCTGGTTTTGGGTAACTTCTTCAGCTCTGAGTGCTAGTGCTAGAGGATTGAGATTTGGCTCTCAGGCTCCCCAGTACTGTGGTAAGCTTTTACCTTGCTTATTGAGTCGTTTAGGGAAGGTTTAGTGTGTTCAAAAGGATTTGAAGATCATGATCAAGTCTTGGCAGAATATGTTTTAAACCAGTTAAACTATGTTTAAAGTTAGTATGTTCTAACCATTGTTAAACCATTGTAAAGTGGCTGGCTGGTTTCTTTCAAATCTGCGGTTCTTTGAAAAAAGAAGTGTTCCTGAAGACTTAGTCTTCTGAGGCAGAACCATAAGAAGTCTGGCGAAAGTAATGGCACAATAAAGATAAAAGGGGAGAACGTATTTAATGGTTGGCCACTGCCAAAAGTGACACCCCCAGACCTACTTTCTTGCCCCTGGATACCCTGCCTCTCACATCTTACTGTTTAATACACCAATTCAGGTGCAACTGACAAGAGACCTTTGGTTAGGTTAACTTTCTGCTACATTAGTGAGTTGAATCAGCATGACTGTGTAGTCCGATAAGCAGTAGAGCCCGGGTAAAAGCAAAGTGGTGGGAGGTTATGAGTGAGAGGAAGATGGCTGAGCCTGGTTGACATCTTTTTGACAGCTGAGAGCTAATAGATTGGCTCGGCTGCATTATCAAAGCACGCTGAGACAACTTGTTTCAGAGGATAACTGCCTAAAACAAATATTTTAGGTGTCACCAGAAGAGACTGCTTTGTAGATAAGTCTGTGAAATGTCTCTTGCTCCAACTATATAATGACTTTAATATTGCATTTTTTTTGCAGACTGTTTTTAAAGTTGCTCTTTCCACTTTTGTTTTCTTATCTGCTGGTCCCTAAAATAGTTCTAATAAAAATACGATTCTAAAGTGAGGAGTCTATTTTCCACTTAACAAAAATACAATTTCAGTCATTGTGATGTAGACTTTCTCATGCCCTGCAAAAAACACTGTCCTCTCAAGCCACTTCCCTGAACAAATCAATCTAAATTAAACTTGCACAGAATAGTTTGAAAATAAAGTTCAGCAAATAGTCCTTCCGTCCTACCCTTTCCTCCCTGCACTTCCTTCGAAACAGAATCTTTGCATTTGGGAGCTGGGAAGTAATAAAATGCTTTTACAAACTTAGATTGCAGTTTCCCAATGTTCTGCAGTATCGTAGATATTCTAGAGGTTTAGTCTTGTGATGTGGCTATTCCCGGTGGTGGTCAATACCAGGGTGTTCCTTAGTTCTTGCTAGATAGGCAGCAGAAGTGCTTAGTGAGAACTCTTCCCTGTTTCACAGAGGATTGCTCATCCGTACTCGACCAGCAGCATTTGTATACCAACCAAGAAGCACAGATAGGTTTCTTAAAAGAGAGGGAGAGGAAGGAACATTTAATTATCAGTACTTTTGTCCATAGCTCAAAGTATAAGGAACCGTGAAATGCTTCAGTGTTCTAATACTGCATTTTAAACCCTTAGTTTTTAATGTGGACATGCTTCTGTTTTCTAGTTCTTGTTTTCTTCTAAATTGTTAGCACAACAGCCTTTTCCCTCTACATAGAGTCTTTTTCTTTGTATAAGAATCCACTTCTGTGTGTGGTAACAAAAACTGAGCTTAAATGTAAGGTAGGGATCTTCACTCTTCTATTTAAATACACTATCTTAAAACTACATTGAAAATAAAATCAGCGAAGGATATGAAGCCAAAAGTGTTCTAAGTAGAACCTGTTGTACATTATCTGTGAGGAATCCAGCTGTTTTCCCAAAGTTCTCCTTGTTTACTAGCATTACTGCAGGGCTTATGGTTGTAACATGCTGCAATACAGTAGTTATTGGAAGTATTTGTGAGCAATAAGTGCTTTTTAAACCTAGGCAGCGACACTGGTGGCCCGACACTGATGGTACAGCCAGCCTGCATCACGACCATTTCAGTAGTTAATCGTCTTGTTTAGCACTGTAACCAGGAGTTGTATTAGGCTGTCTGGCTTCATCTATGACATGTTTTAATGGATGAGTTTGTCCTTGTGATTTTACTTGCCCTTCAGTGTAGCAGAAACTAAACTTGTTTCCAGGATGTGTCTCTTCATCTTGGATGCCACAAAAGAACTGTCTTTTAAGTTCTAAGATCTTGATTATTTCACCAAAGTGCATGACTTAAATTCTAACCCAACGGTCCCTTTAAAAAATAACTTGGAAGAAGCGATAGTGTGTGTTGCACTTTTGTAAAATACTGCATTAGTATTGTGCATAAATACATATGACAGTAAGAGTAGCATCAAAACTCATTACTGCAGTTAATGCATCTGTGTGTGTGTCATGCAGCAAACCTGGGACTATTGTTAAAATAATGACGTGGGAAATGACCTATTCAAGTTTTTAAATAATCCCTGTTGCCAAATAGCTACAAATCCAAGCCCATAATAGCTCTGTCTGTCTGCACTACAACTTCAAGGGATTTTTTTCAATGATCAGGCACAAGCATTCATGTCGCTTGGGTTCCTTCATAGCTGTTAGAGTCTGGACTTTAGTGCACCTTTGACTATGAATTCTCCAGGTGTGTGCATGTCCCTAAGACTTTTTGGGGATAGCACCTAGTTTTGTAGGAGGTTTGATATTTTTTTTATTATTTTTTTATTCTTTTTTGGCTAGTTTTGTAGGAGGTTTGATTTTTTTTTTTATTATTTTTTTATTCTTTTTTGCAAACCAAGCCCTTCAGCTATCCCTTGACAGTGTTTTGGCCCAAGCTTCTTCCTTGCAGGTGCAGAGTATGTTGCCAGCATGCTGCTGGCTGCACTGGTCATCTGGGTGCTGCTGCCTGCTGAAAAGCCGTGGGATGGCTGCCCACATTCCCCTACAACATCCTGGGACAAACATAGGTGCTAGAACAAGGGTGGGTGCAGATGTGATCCTCTTGTATAGAAAGAAGCTGTGCAGTTAAGCTTTACCCCCAGAACATGCATGTTTTATTAGGTTAGGTGATGGGGCAATGGAGGGCTCACCACAACGCGGCCGGTGTTTCTGGATAACAAGGATGTGCTGGTCTCAGTGCATTTTCTCCATCACTGTGCTGGCTGGAATTGAGAGCGTTCCAGAGGAAACATTTATAGCCACTGGCAGGGAAAGACTGATCTGCATGACTGTATTGCTGGCTTCTCTTGGGGTGTCCAAAAATAAGTGTCACAAAGATTCATTCACTTTCCTAGTGAGTGCTGAGACAGAGAACACCTCAGCAGTCTGGAGCAGAAGCTCCTCTGGAGGCGTGTGTAGTTGGGCTGTCCCAGAATTTCCTGGGGAAGACCCATCACGAGGTGTGTCCCAAACCCGTTGCAAAACAGTGAGAAGTATTTGCCTCTGTATCTTGGAGGGCAACTTCCAATGCTGAAAATAAGCACAGGCATTAATTTAATGAAATATTCTATCGCCTGTCATTGTAGTTTCATCTTTTCATTGCAGAAAAATAGAGATACCTGTGTTTAGCTTTTGTTGCAAGAACTGGAGCAGGCATGGCTTCATGGCTTTCTAAGCATTTCAGATTTCAGCCTTATTCTGACTCCGTGATCTGGGGTGGCTTGTTGTGCAAAACTTGTATCGTTGCAGCACACATGCCCATAGTCTAAAATTTTGCTCTTGTTCTGACATTGCAAAAAGTATTCCAAACAAGCAGCAATGAAAAGCACTTTGTGCTCTGTCATTCGGCAACTAGGAGCTGCTGACTTTATTACTTCCTAAGGCTGCTTTTCTGACTCCTAATTTCTTCCCTGCTAGTTTGTTTCCCGAGTTTGAGTCACCTCCATGATGATCAAGGCATAGTAGGGCAGAGATTAAGGGGGGGGGGAATGTAGAAAGGTAAGTGTACCCCATAAAGTGTCAGATGAAGGAAAGTTCTTAATTTGTACTAAGTAGATGAGAGCAGGCTCAACTTTTTTTTTTTCCCTCTCTTCGTGTTCTCCAGATAACAAGTTAGAGGAGCTGGAGCCTAATGCAATGGGTGGTGCTCATGCTGTGAAGAAAAGGGGCAGCGTCTCAGTTTGGGAAGGCAGAGCTTGAGATCACAAAAATGAAATTCGTGGATAGTGTGTTCTGTCGCAGAGAGCTGGAAATGTCCATTGCCCACTTGTACTATTAAAGCCAGGGAGCGTATTTTGCAGGTTGTTCTGCCAGATGCCTCTTACTGAACTAAAGAGAAATTTCCCTTTTCTTACCTCCTCTAATGCTGGAATGGCATTCAAAAGCAACAGAATTGTACAGATATTATTATTAGACAAGTTAACGTCCACCTAACAACTGTGAAGATCAGTAAAGTAATAGAAACTGAATTTAAGAAAAGTTTTGTAGTATAAGAGGCTATATGAATTTTTGTGTGCTTAAATTAGCGCAGGTAGTTCATGTGATAATGGTATTTGTCCAGGTGTTCTTCAGTCTACAAAAGATACGGCATTAGCCATTATTGTAATGTTATTGTAATGTGTGGAAGCTATCTGAAATAAGCTTATTTGCAGGTTGCTTTTGGCTGGCACTTGCATTTACTGTCCATGTTGTTTATACTACATTTCACCGAAGGTATCAAGAAAGTAGCTTTGTCTGCTTTCTTCTACTTAATAGCTTTCAGTATTTTTTCCTAAAATTTTACATTGTTCCAACTAGTTTGGCATAGGGCTGATTTGTCGACTTGGTTCTTGTTTTCTGTTAAAGTTCTCTCTTACCTTGCTTATTAACTAGTTTAAAACATGTGAATGATAGTCATATTTTGCCTTACATAAATTGCACATACTAAAATTGAATAGTTCAGAAAATGGTTCTCCCCTGATGGGAGCAGATAGTTATACTGCAAACTTGCTCTGAAAGATTATTAACCTATAATAGTTAGCTGTGACTGTGCTAAGGCAGAAAAGGGTCTGGGAAGGAGCTATCAAAAACTAATGTTAACTAACTCATCACTTCTCTTAAGTAATGGCTTTAAAATATATAATTCAGTACATTGTTTACTTCAGACTTGAAGGGGGGGGGAAACCAAGGCAAACTAACCCAGAGCCAAATTTGAGTCCTGTTAAAGTCAGTGGTATAAATTCCACTGAGTTTTAGCACAGAGCTGAAATTTCCCAGTTTCTTCCTTATTGTACATTGCTCACCAGAGTTGTATAAACACCTATGTAAATTGTGTCTTGTTGGCGTCCCTGCTTGGAGCCGCTTAAGTTAGCGGCTGCTCGCTGGCTTTCGTTGAGAATGCTTCAAGGGTTTGTTCACTTCCTTGCCCAGGGAACATTGCCCAAGTCCTAATTTGGAAGTCAGTGAAATTGCACTCCTGGAAAAAAAGTTGGCTTTTGGAGTGTCTGTAGCTTGTTTCAGTGCGTGTTTAAAGTTTTTGCAAGTAAAATCAAAGAAGATTTAAATAGGCTTTTAACAAGGTGTTAAACCACCTGATTTGGAAGATTTCACTGCACAAGGAACAACTATGTAGGTTTCCGGTGGATTTGTTGTATGTTTGGTGGACTAAACCCATCACAAATACACCAAGTATTCCTCAGATTTCTCCAGCCATTTCTTCATGACCTACATCCTTTTTTCTTTTTTTCAATTATTTTGAAAGCTGCAGCAATGAGCTGTGCTTTTTGTCTGCAGTATGTTATGGTTGAACAATATCTTTCTTAAGATGGGGAAGTATTTTTTCATAGCCCTTCTCTCTTTCCTTTAGAGATGGGGAAACAAAAAGCCTGTTCTAACTTGCAGATTTGGTTATCTTGAATTCCTGAAAGGTTTTTTTTTTTATTATTTTTTGCATCAGTCACTAGTCACCTGTACCTGGCAGTGTTGTGTGTATCCTGCTTCTCAACTGCATAGTTTAAATACACTAGGGGAATAAGGATCTGTGTCGTAGAGTGGGTTATCTCAGGTTGGAACAGGCCTCAGGAGGTAAATTCTCTGCATTTTGGGTTGTGGTGGTGCTACTGTTATTTTGTGGGGGAAGGTTAGATCGTAAAAGTAGGTGAGAATTCAAAGAAAAATGGGTGAAAGGGGACTGGTTTTGTTCTTTTCCATTTTGGGGCATTACAGTATGGTAGGCATTACAAATCTCCTGTTACTGTTTGCTTGTTTGAGGTTAGATTTTAGTTTCAGATACACATTGAACAAATTATGACTTTCCAGAAAGCTCTACAGTAATATTTTTTTTCTTGAGAAACAGTTACCCCTGCATCTAGGTGCAATATTTTTTGTGTGTTTAGCAGTTTAAACGTAAATATTTATTACAGCAAATTCTCACAGACATCTGCTGTGCAGTGTTTACTGCATTTGCCTTGTTAGGTTTTCATTCAGCTTAACTATGTTTCGAAAATAAAATGCTGTATTCTGTAGTACACTGAAATACTTTCTTAAGTTGCAGTTGTAGTATTGAGTTGTCTTATTTACATATAAGATATACCTGTAATAGATAATGAAAATTTTCCTCATGTAGAGGAGTAGCTGTTAGTGACTACTTGGGGCTTTTGGTATCTGTATGAAAATTAGTTGATGGCTTCTCCGATGGATGCTGTTGACCCGATCTCTGACTTGCAGTTCTGCTGTCCAGCCAAGTTTGCAGATGCAATTGGCATAAAGATTAGGTGTTGATGTGACTGGGTTAGAGGGGCTGTCTCCCAGATCCCTTAATCATGATGTACTGCAGAATGCAAGTAATAGTTGTAGTAATGGTTCATCTACTCGTGTGTATATGCTTTCAATATATGGATGAAAAATTGAGTCTATTCAACATTTAGAAACAGTAAAAACATCAGCTATTGTGGTAGATGATACCTATACGTAGTTCGTGATTAATGTGCTTTAAAAACAACACAGGGTTCTGGGAAACTCTTAATTTTCAAGATGGCAGATATTCTCAGCTCTTTTCCCTACGTGTATAAGTTTTAATTTCAATATGTTATGGCATTTAACATTATTTTCCAGTTCTCATTGTCTCATGGTTTGGCTTCTAAGACATCTACCCACCATTGCTTTATGCCAGGTTTCTGTGTTTTCAAGATTAACATTTAGGAGAGGAATGTTTGTTTATTTTTAGTTGTATTATATAGAGTAGTAAACATGGCAAAGAAGTAAGTAGCTTAAAACTGATGGGTTTTTTTATAAATGGCCTAATATGTACCTTTTACTGATACCTTTCCCTGTCTTCCCCTTCTTTCCCCTTTTTAGATGTGTGGTCAGCAGGCTGTGTATTGGCTGAACTGTTACTAGGACAACCAATCTTCCCAGGTGACAGCGGTGTGGATCAGTTGGTGGAAATAATCAAGGTATGGAATTTTAAGTGTTTTTATGTCTGAATTATTCCTTGGGAATCAGCATGAAGACATGCATTGTTATAACCTTGTCAACATATATCTTTTATAACCATTATATAGGGTGTTGAATGTAAACCATGTTTGAAAACACTTACTGTGCTTTTTTTGAGAACTTCATGATCTTTATGCCCCTCTTGCAATCATGCATAATGATATATCATCTTTTAATTATATAGGTTTTTTCCCTTCTTAAAGGATTGCACTTTCAGTGTGCTTGGAAATAGTGCTTACATGCTGAGCCAATATTTATTAATGTGTGATTCTCATTCTTTAAGAATCTGGCTCTTTTTCCTTTGTTGCATGCAATTAGTACTTGGCTTTGAAAACAGTGTTATTCGGTTTCCCTGTGCCAGATTCTTCACATATGTAGCCTTCTTCTCTTCTTCCTTCCTTTCAGCTCTTTGAGGTGAAAAGTTAGCAAGGGCACTCCTTTTTGCTCTTGAAAAATTGTGAAATGTAGGGCAAAGATAACCTTCCACCTGAAGAGTCTTGTTTTTCAAGTGATAAAAGACCTAATGTTTCAGAATACATAACATTTATGTTCAAACACTTATGTTCAAACACATCTTGATTGATTTCATTTGGAAAGCTGTGAATATTCTGTGATTCTCAAATTAGAGGCATGGAAGAATAATTCATAGCTTGAAAGGTTAGTGTCTTACTTCCCAGCACCCTAGTCTCCCCTGCCTGCTTCAACTTCTGCAATGAAGGAAGCAAAAAAGAGAGAGCAGTATATTTTTCCTCTGAATCTATACTATGCACTTAATAAGATGGTAGTATTACAGAGGATGTGTGCACACAATGTTCAGCTTTATTGATTTCATCACCACAAGGGGACTGTATTACAAGAATTTCCTCCTTGGTGTTGCCACTTAACTGCGACCTTAATTACATGTATATTTGTGTGGCATGCATGTGAAAAGCCCCTCAAACACAAAATGTATGGGTGGAAGAGTAGAACTGCCTACTTGTGTCTGTTATTCACTAGAAGAGCTGGTGTCTTCGCCCTGTCCTAACAGGGTGTATGACACCAACCAATACCAAGTTGTCATTCCCCTGTGTGGAGGACACGGGCTGGTGAGGCTCAGTCTTTCTGTGGCCTGCTCTATGGTCTCAGTGGGCTGTGCTCTGACTTCTCTAGGCTCTTGCCACATCTCCCTACAGCCTTTGACCATGTAAGCCTAGCTTCCCTTATGATGGGTTTCTGTCTGTCCTGCTGGAAATCCTCCAGTCAACTCCTTTCTTCTGGAGTATCTATGTCTTGCACCTACTTCTCCTATGACTTCGTTTCTTATTGTTGCCTTTTCTGCCTGGTGTATTTCAAGTTCAACATGTCCAAGTTCAGTCAGTTTACATAAGAAACATCAATAGAAACCTAGAGTTGCTGTCAGAAGTAGGGCTGGTGATGGCAGAAGTTTTCTGCTTTTGAGAAGTGTTTTGGAGCAGTGCTCTGCTTTCTGCTACACTGCTTTTGTGAGATGTCAAGTAGTCCTTGTGAGCACTTCAGATGGCCAGAGTTTGTGCAGTATTCTGTGGCATTTGCCTTTGGACGTTTTCAAAAAGTCCTGTTTTGTTTCTTGAGTCATGCCTGCGATCCTCAGAAACTACATCTAATGGGTTTTTTGTAAATGCAACTTTTTGTATCACAGTGTAATCCTGTAAGTCCTTCCGCGATTCGATCAGAAATCTGAGTAGAGGCTTTATCAGCAAAACCATAGTGTTCTACCTCACCATTGCTTTGATTTTCACAATGTGGAAGTAAAATAATCAGGAAATAGATGTTCTCTCATTATTGAAATGCTTGCCAAGCAGAGATTGTGAGTTTGTTCAAAGTTCGATAGAAGCTGTTATCGTCAGTTGGACACTTTCAGTTCTTCAGTGCTGGAAGTAAACATCTGTGAACTAGTAATTTTATAGCATGTATGCGCTCTGATTGTGATGATTCTGCTTTGTTTACACTTGAGGTAAGTTCTATTGAAGCAGAGGAGTACTTTAATAAAATTGCTGATGGCCTATGTACTATCTGTGATTTCTTTAAATTACACTACCATGAGCGGTGTGATAACTTTTGTTGACCAATTCATAGCTGAATACATGGTACTGGCAAACTAATGTTATTTTTCATGACAACCGAAGGAGTATCCAGTGTACAGGTTTGAACTTCAGTCAATTATAGCTTGAGATGATGATTTTCACCTCTGCAGAAACAAATTTTTGCATCATTTCTTTAAATGTAGAAAGGAGGATACTGAATGATCATCTGCACCTGTGTTGTGTTGGGGTTTTCTTATCTTTTAGATATGTAGCCCCCTACATGTAGAAATTAAGTGAAACAAAGGGTAGGGATAATATATTATTTATATATTATTTTATAGTAAGCCTGGTCTCTTCAATTAAAAAGTTACAGTACTGAGAAAATATGTTTTAGGAAATTCTGAGAGAACAAATCCTATAAATCTTACAGTAGTAGTCACATAAAAAGATGTTTACTGAATCGTTAAGGAAGTATGATGGAGAATGTGAGCTCAAATGGGTGGGTGCCATGAATATTTTTCTGTCTGTATATTTGTTACTGAGGCAGCATATATTCTCAAGGCAACACTGAAAGAGAAAATGAGTGCAAACTGCAGAATTGGACTGTTTTTCAATGCCCTTGTCTACCAAATCTTGTGTTGTGAAGCTTTGTGTCAGTTATTCAGAAAAGCCCTGGCAGAAGGCTAAGGTGAGAACACAGAGTTACAGTTGAGAATATTGCATTCAAAATCAACAGCCATCAGAAATGGTCTAGGAAAGTGCATGAACGGGGCAATGAGGTACTTCCCTTGTAATGCCATACCCCCCCGACAAGTATTTCTCATAGCGGAAGTAGAGGGAGAACAGCACCTTTACCTCAAATTTAAAGTAATTTTTCCTCATCTTTTGAGAATGAGGAAAAAGTAGAAAGTGAGGTCCTCAGTTTTCCATTATGCCAGCTGTTGGCAGGGATCTGTCCCATTTGCTATGTATCCCTTAAAAGTGACCAGTAATCAAATTGAGCAGATTTGTTTTTCAGATCTGCAAAGAAGTCATGAAACGTTCTGCAATTCTCCACTCCTAGCAATTCCACTTAGATTTGAACGGTTAGCATAAAAACTGCAGCCTGTGTTTATTGAGGGAGCTTGGGTTCTGCAGCTGAAATACAGCTGAAGACATATGCAATTCTGCAGCATAAGAATTACCAGAAATGTTGAGTCTTGGGCACAACATGTAAAAAGTCAGGTTGTGTAAGATTTCAATAATTTAAAAAATGTTTTTACAGATGGTGTCCACCTTTTCCATTTGCTGCCATAGAATACTACTGTTTAAAGCTTTCATTGTAACACAGACTTATTTTAATGCCAGCTAGCTGAAGCAGAGCAGTGGAATCTGCCAGTTGTAAAACACCAGTGAACTTTGTAGAAGGTTGCAGATTTAGACCTGTGAGCTGCTGTTTGGCTATCTTGCAGTCATGCTTTTCAGATAGCTTCCTTGGAACTGTATGCTTGAGACTTCAAGACAGAGAAAAAGGAGTATTTTAAACACCCAGAAAGTGCTATAGTAAAATATTTATCCACATATTTGGAAATGCATCTGACTTTCATACCTTAAATTTACTTTATTCCACTTGAAGAGAGGTGAGCTTATAAACTTTTCTGCTAGTTCCTATCAATTCAGGATGACTGAGTCACAGTCATTCTTGTAGCATTTTTTGAGCCAAGAAAAATTTTTCAGTTGTCTCTTTGGTTGCTTACTCAGCTTTGATTATTCAGAGTTCATTTCACAACACAGCAATTGAATGCTCCACCTGCGTATGAGTTTTTGCATTAGGCTGGAGAATAACTTCAAATGCCATCACATTGAACTAGTCCTCCCTCCTCATGCAGTTCTTGATGACATCCCCTTACTAGCTGTGTTCATGAAGATAGAATTTCTGTGATATGTCAGTCCAACACAACTTGTCCTTCCTGCGGGCTGCATGCCCAGCATCCTCAGTCCCTTACTCCATCAGAAGCATTTTTGGCTTTTGTCAGATTTTGATTCACTTTCAGCAGTCTTCACCTAGTTTCATTTCGAGCAGGCTTGCAAGATCATCTCCATCAGTTGCACTTGGAGCTTCTCCAGGCCTATTGTGTATTTGTAAACTGCTCTGAAAAACTGTGCCCCTCTAGAACCACAACATGACCTTTGTGTGAATCAAAATATAGTCCTCTTCTTTTTGGCTGCTTTTTCTCATGATCCTATTTCTTTAAAGACAGTTTTTCCAGATATTCTCAATCTGGCTGGAGGAGAGAGATCTTTGACCACTTATCCCTGACAAAATGATATTCGGTATGGAGAAATACTGACTTGGAGCTCCATCTGAAGAAGTAATTTAACCCAAGTACATTCTTCTTGAATGCTTATACTGTTGCAGGAGAGAAGTCATGTGCTGTATTTTTCCAAAGTTTGATCTTGGATGGTGACTCTTCCTCCTTATTTTTAGCTCTTGCTAACTATCCCAGTGATGGGATAACCTAACATTAGGGAATATCTCAAGTGGGTAACTCGATATATTCATTAAAATTCGTGCCTCTACTGGCTTTCGAGTGACATCTCCTTCAGAAATATGCTCAGTTTCTGAAGTGGGCACAGCAGCAGTGCACGTTTCATCAGTGGTCACACAAAGAATTCCATACAAGCATTACCCCTCAGAGAGCAGTCATATGGTCCCATCTCTGATGGAGAGGGTAAACCCCTCTCCTTCCAGCAGTCCAGTTGCCACTTTCCTGTTTAAAATCCATTATGCAAGTGAAATACTGCTGAGTACAGCTCAAAAGAAGGAGCTTTCAAACCACCAGAGGGATTTTTTTTGAGATACAATCGGGGCAGACTCCTCCGTAAATCCTTGCACTCGTGGCTTGCAATGCTGCAGCGGTGTCTGCAGGACTGATGTG